AACGAGCAGAAAACACAGACAATATTATTTAGTTCTGATAGATGGGTTACACCATCTGAACCAGTAAAGTTGCTAGGTGTTACTATGGATACAAGGTTGAAGTGGTCGCACCATATTGAACGATTGTGTAAAAAGCTCGTCTCACAGATTTTTGCTATGCGCAGATTGGCTCTTTGCGTTGTTTCTAACTTTTTGCAGATTTTTTGGTAAGGGCTACTGAGGGCAGAGATTGATTAATTTTCCCTGATATTACTATCACTAGCAGAGTTTCTACTAGAGGAGTTCCTACCCGCTACCCTATAGTTTTCTATAATTAGTATTAATAGTGATGTAGTCTATCTGGTATAAATGTTTGTCTGCCTTATATAAAGAAATAAATTTCATAGTGTGTAAAACCACGAGTATTTTCAGTTTTTTCTTAAGTGTTTATATCATATAATTACGATGTAATAAGTGACACAGTAACTATCAACAAAGCTAATATAGAGTAAAAAGGTCACAAAGTGTATCATCCAATCTTGTCCTGATTTTTTATTTACTGCCGTTACTATAATAGAAAAAATGTTTTTAAATAAATTGATAAAAATTTACAATTTTAGATACGCAGTTTATTCACTTTAGATAAGAGTTTCGTTTTTTAACTTTATAACTTATTAGTTTGATTACAAAGGTGTAATATTAATGTTTGTCTTATTTTTGTGAATAATTACCTTAACCTTTTGCACATCTGATAAGGCCAACAAATAGTTAGAAATTTAACGAGAAAATAGAATTTTATTAATTCTAGACCGAAAAACCTGTGTGTGTTGACAGAATTGGACTCTACCAGAGATATTCTTTAATTATAATGAAGGTTGCCTTAAATTCATCTGTTCATTTATTATGTATCCTCAAGTGGTTCCTCAAGAGTCCTCGTATGATGTGGAATGTATTTATAATAAAGATTAATTTTTCCTAGGAACTGACAAATATTTTTCTGATTTTTCTGGAATTTTGAGATCTGTGGAAATGTTTAATGGAGTTCAAGTTATTAATATACAGTCTAACAGAATTGTAAGCTAGAACGTGAACTAAATTGATCGAAATTACATTTTAAAAGTTTTAGTAGGAACCTTTGCCTGAATGCATGAAGTAATTGTTCTATGTGATGAACGTGTTGTTCAAAATCAGAAGAAAAAAATAAAATATCAATATAATTTATGCAAAAGCCCTGACGTAACGTCGAGTATTCATTGTGTGAATACTCGACTTGTAGTGGCAAGTATTCATTGAAAAATTGCTGAAGATTTTATAAACCAAAAGCTAATTTTATTTCCTTGATAATTGCCGGACTGTGTAAAAGCGATCTCTTTTCTTATTGGTATTGTCCAAAAATCTAACTTAATTTCCAAAACTATATACCACTTGAAATTGCGTGCCTTTACTATGATATTCCGCGGGAACGGTTGTGATTACGGTACCATAATTTTGTTCAGTTCACGAAAATCAACACAGATCTATCTAGACTAGATCGTCGTTATTTTTCTTTCTTATATGCCAAGGTGACTGGTGCAGCAAAAGGACATTCAGATCTCCTGAGTTTTGTTGTTCTTCCTCTTAAATATTAGCCGCCACTTCTACAACCTCTTTACACTTCTCGCTACGGGTTTTGTATCTGCAAAATTCCAGTGGATAAAAACCTCCCGAGTATCCTCGAACACTCATAGTTAATACATAATCTTTCTATCGATTTTAGATTTTTATTTGCACTTAAACGAGTATCAGTCTTATTTACTATCTTGCTCAGTGCTATCTTAGCACTTAAAACTGTCCTTTCACTTTTTTCTCTAGGATATGTTAATGTATATCTACGTAGTTGATTTATAAGGTTTTTAGCAGTGAATGTGTTGCTTGTGTGGGTCCATTTCAAATAGGTAAAAAGAAATAAAATAAGATTTACTCACATTAATTTAATTTTACTACCAAAACGACCGGTTTCGCTTTCTACAATTTGCAAAGCATCTTCATGTCAAACGGTACAAAGTAAATTAAATGATGCCGGTACAAGAACTAATAGTTAATGATTCGGAAAACATAGTTTAAATCCTGTACTGCTGATGATGGGTGATCTTCGGTTTTTCTAACTGTTTGATAATTAGCGGGGAAGTTTCTTGAGGGGATAGATGATAACAAATGAAATACGAATAATGTATAATGTAATTGTTTGTTAAATGAAAGTGATGTTTCATATTATTTAATTTATTAAAAGTTATTTATATTTATTCAAAAGATACATTTTAGAAATGTGTGTTAATTGATTGAAATTTTTATTAAAGGGATAGTTGTATAACAATGAATGAAATTGGATGTACAATTGTGTGGGTGCGCAATTTCTTTAACTTGAAATTATCAAATTTCTTTGATAAAGTTAAATATGATTACTGTTTTGGCAGAAAATTGGTATGTCAAATATGTTTTAAATTATTAAACTAAAATAGACATTAAATTTAAAAAGGAGAATTTATTGGCACTTTTTTGTTGTCTAATAGACTTTTTAGAGACTTTTTAGGGCACTATTCCACTAGGAGTAAAATTCTTAACGTTTGGTTAAGTCGAAAAACTACACAAGCTTTTTTTTTAAATCCACAGATCCATAATGTATGAAACGTCTACATTGACAACGGTACTCATAGGTGCATCGGTGACACTCGTAACCTATATAATATGGTACTTCTATGATGCTTTTCAATACTGGAAGAGAAGAGGAATCCCCGAAATCAAGCCCGCCATTTTTCCGTTCGGTAACACATTGAATCTATATCTAGGAAAAGAAACATTTGGTGAAGTATTTTCAAATGCATATTTAGAATTTAAACGAAGAGGCAAGAAACATGGAGGGATATATTACATGCAACAACCAATTTATATCCCAGTCGATCCCGAAATCATTAAAAAAATCATGATTAGCGACGCTCACTACTTTCCCAATCACTCGATGTATATCAGTCCCAAAGACGATATTCTATCTGGACATTTATTTAACATGGAAGATAGGGAATGGAAAACACTTCGGACTAAGACTCCCTCAATTTTTACTTCGGCTAAAATGAGAAAGATGTACCTGATAATGCAAAGAATGGTGGATCCCTATAGAGGGGTAAGTAGATTTTTTTAATCATAGGTCTTCCGTAGTCTGGACAACAATTTACCAATGTTGATGACAATATTCGTAAATTGTTAATTACTATTTAACTGGGAATAAGCCACAATTAAAGATAAAAATACGTTTCTTGACGTTTCAATTTCCACTTCGGAAATCGTTCTCAAAATACAAACAGAAATTAAACAAATTTTCTTTTTTGTTACATAGTGAAAAATTCTTCTAATAATTTAATTTTATCTGACTCATTTATATTGACAATTCAGACATACATTATGCATTTTCTCAAAATTCTCCTGTTAGTGATTGTGAGGGAAAAACCAGGAAAAAAACCTCATAATACTATCCCGACATTGTATTTGTTCGTGAATTTAGTTTACCTTCAACAAACACCAAAATTTTGATTTTATATGTTTCGTTATTTAAAAAACATAAATGATGTATCCTCTATATGTTACTGACTTACTAATACTGGTATTTTCTTATTAATAACTTCCATATTGGTCCTCTATAACCTCTTTCAATATTGGTAACCAGATCCTACTACATTCTGCCGAGGAATTTGCGACACAATTGGCCTCATTTAGCATAATTAGAGCCGCTTCTTTGATTTTTCTTTTTTTACCATCCGTTTCTTTTAGGACTACATTTGAATTATTCCATTGAACCCTATGTTTATTATCCCATGCATGTTTACATATTTGAGATCTATCAAATTCTCTATTTTTAATGTAAGATTGATGTTCACTTATTCTAACATTTAATGGCCTTGATGATTCACCTAAATAAAACTGATCGCATTCACAAGGTATTTTATAAATGCAATCCTTTGCCTTTCTTGTTCATTGTTAGGTTTGATTTTGGACAAAATAGATTTCAATGGACAGAATACATTGAAGATCTTTTTTCAGAGGGCGAAAGTCCAGAAATAGCAGTGGCAGAACCTACAGATGCACAACAGGGCCTGAAATCCTAAAAACGAGGTAGAATATGCTATAAGGAACACAAAAGGGGGTAAAGCTGCAGAACCAGATGAAATTCCTGTAGAAATGTTGAAACTTATAGACGACGACGGTCTTGAAATAATGGTGAACCTCTTTAACACAACTATAACATTGATGAGCCAAACACTAAAAGTATTTTTAAAAATATTGCACAAAAGAATATTTAATAAATTATAAGAGGACATAAGCGCCACACAGTTTGGATTCAGAGGTGGACTGGGAACACGGGAAGCTTTGTTTGGTCTGAGTATGTTTGCAAATGCAAAGATGTTTGAATTTAAACCAAGACCTCTAGATAGGTTTCATATATTTTTAAGAAGGCGTTCGATAAAGTCAGGCACCAAAAGCTGTATGAAATCCTAAGAAGCAAAATCATCGACAGTCGCGACTTTAACATCATATCCAGGTTGTACCTACTGGAGATAAACAGCAAAAATCAAAGTGATAATAAGTTAACCGAAGAAATTGTGATTCGTCGAGGTGTGCGTCAGGGTTGTGTGCTTTCTCCACTATTATTCAATATATAGCGAAACAATATGGTAGGAAGCGCTCCTAGAGCAAAACATTGGTATGAACATTAACGGAGAGTTAATTAACAATATACGATACGCTGATGACACGCTAATAGTAACACATAACCTAGCAAATTTACAGTTTTTGATGAAAAGCATAAACACACATACAAATAAGTATGGTCTAAAACTGAACATCAAAAAGACTAAATTCATGATTGTAACAAAGAAGCTATACACCAATGTGAATTTAACCGTAAATAATCAGCCAGTTGAAAGAGTTACGTCCTACAAATATTTAGGGGTGTGCTTCACTGATACTAATGACCAGACAAGAGAAATCAAGAGGCGAATAGAGATAGCGAGACAATCGTTTGACAAAATGAAAAAGTTCCTATGCAGCCAGGACATAAATATAAACTTAAGAACGAGAATGTTGAGGAGCTATGTTTTCTCCGTTCTGCTGTACGGCATGGAAGCCTGGACACTGAAAAAGAAAATCATCAAAAACATTGAGGCATTCGAGATGTGGTGCTACAGGAGAATATGGAAAATACCATGGACAGAAAGAGTAATAAATCAAGATATTCTGCTGAAGATGGGAAAGGAATGCGAAGTCATAAAAACCATACAACCGAAAAACTGAAATATCTGGGCCACATAATCAGAGAAAAGTACTCTCTGCTTAGACTCATAATCCAAGGAAAAATCTCGGGAAAAAAAAATGTGGGACGTAGGAGGATTTCCTGGTTGCGAAATTTAAGGGAGTGGTATGGGTGCAGTTCAATACAGTTGTTTAGAGCTGCAACCAACGAAGTAAAGATTGCTGTGATGGTAGCCAACCTCCGATAGGAGACGGTACTGCACGAAGAAGAATCTTCATGTGTTTGCCATTGATCCATACTGATCCATATTGATCCATTCGGAGGCATATTTAGCCACCGAATATACAAGTCCGAGAGAGGATGATCTGAGTACGGATTCTGAGGATCTCCATATGATGCCACATAGCTTTTGGACTATATTATTTCTCATTTTTAGTTTTGCTGCCGTTTTTTGTAGGTGTTCTTTAAAACTTAATGTTCTGTCCAGAGTCACTCCAAGATATTTTTGTGTTGAATTATGAGTGAGCAGTCTGTTTTCAAAGTAAACGGAGAGTTTTTTGTTGGCTCGGGCATTATTCAGAAATAGCACACTTTGGTTTTCGTTGCATTGGGCCGTAGCCTCAATTTTCAAAAGTATTCTCCCATAACGGCAAGGTCATCCGTTAGTATTCTTTCATCCAGATAGGTCCGCGATGTATTAATTAAGCAGAAACTGTGACAAAATAGATCCCTGTGGTAATCCATTGCTGCATTTCATTTAGAAACTTTTAAAATTGCCCAGTGTGACTTGAAAAGGTTTGTTGTTGAACATGCTATCAATGAGCTTAGTTATCTTTTGACACGGGATGGCACGGATTAGTATGCAGATTCTCCCTTGTCTCTAGACAGTATCGTATGCAGCTGATAGGTCAATGATAGCAACAATTGTTTTTTGCTTTTCTTGAAAACCTGTTTCAATATGAGTTGTTATGGATATGACCTGATCTGTGCAGCTTGTGTGTACGATTATAACGTCATCACCAATAATTCAAAAATATATTTCGAATAAAAGTTACTTATATTTTTATGAATAATCCAAATCTGCAATGACAAAATGAAGAGATTTGAAAGTTGCCTCCTTCCCACTCCGATGTGTCTTCTGGTTGAGGAGGTGGGTCATGTTGGGTATCATTGGATAGATTTTTGAAAAATAAAAAAAACGTGTGTTTTTGGATTTTTCGATCCAATGTTAATTTCGCAAAATCTCCGACCATCCCACTTCTTCTGACACGCCCGGACCCGGTATATTTAATATTTGGTAAAAATATGCATGATTTGTGTTGTTTACAATATAGGCTAATATCGTTATTAAAAACTAACAATATTTTTCTTTTTTAGTGGTTGGATAAATTCTGTGAAACAAAAGAAGCAGTAGACATCAAGAGCGTGGTTTCACGTTTCACCACTGACATAATCTGCGCATGTGCTTTCGGCATCGACACCAACACACTCAAACTTGAAAACGAAGAACTCCTCTACCACGCACGTCAGTTTTTCGACTACCAATGGAAACTGTCCAAGAACACTGTGGTGATGGCATTTCCTAGGAAGTTGCTACAGGCTATTAAATTTAGAATATTTCCCAAAAGCACTGAGAAATACGTGCTTGATATGTTTACTGATATCTTTAATTATAGAAAACAAAATGATATCTTCAGGAACGATTTAACAGATACACTTATGCGATTGACCGAGAAGAATGAAGACGAGAAGGATTACACCGGAGAAAACGTGATTGAGCCAATGGATATCAAAGAATTTTCATCTCAAATGTTTATGTTCCTCTGCGCAGGCTTTGAAACTTCATCTACTACTCAAACTTTTGCTCTGTATGAACTGGCAAAGAACCCAGATGTACAGTCTAAATTAAGGAACGAGATCAATAGGGTTTTGGCTAAACATGACAATAAAATGACATATGATGCCCTAATGGAGATAAAATATTTGGAACATTGTGTTGATGGTAAAAATATTTTTTTTATAAGCTTACTACTGAAAATGTTTCGTCTTTTTGTAGTACACACTACAGTATGAATTGTAGATTCATACAATTTCACCAAATTATGCGATAGTGTACTATTCAGTGCCATTAAAAGGTACACCGAGTCTAGGGAAAAAATACAAAAAAAAATTGAAAGAATTAAGCAATTTCATTTCATTCATAGGTGTACTGATAGATTCCACCCGTGGGAAGGAGGAATAAAAGTCGATGAAAAATTATTTCTTTTGTCCATGATACCAGTATCACCTGGACGAACTCTGAGATTGCAACTCTCCATGCAACTGTATCTTTTGATCTATTTAAAATAAAAACCGGGTCCGACTCTACTCTCTTTCAACGTAGATAAGACGTTAACATTATCCGATAAAGGAGCTCTTCAACCCTTGCTTCTTAATAACAGCTAAATCAGTATAGTTGATTCTGTAAAATTTCTTGGTATTTTTATAAACAGCAACCTTAAATGATCACTTTATATCGATTGCTGTATAGATTTTTTTTTGAACCTATTCTCTATCCTTCCATTGTTGGATATAGGTCTCCCCCAGTTCTCTCAATCTTTCCCTATCTTGGAGCTATTCTCTGCCATGTGGGACCTCCTTGTTTCCTGATGTCATCTTTCCACCTCATCTGTGGTCTGCCTCTTGATCTCTTTGCATTGTATGGACGCCACTTTCCAATGGCATTGTTCCATCGTCCGTCTTAGAGACGTTCATTGTGTCCAGCCCATTTCCATTTTAGTTTTGCTGCTTGTTCTATCGCGTCTACTGTCTTTGTTCTGGTTCTGATCCACTGGTTACGTTTTCTATCTCTAAGTGATACACTTAACATTTGTCTCTCCATCGCTCTTTGTGCCTTCCTTATCCTATCCAAATTGGCCTGTGTAAATGTCCATGTCTGTGCTCCGTAGGTGAGCACCGGTATTATACAGGAGTTATATACCTTGATTCGTAAGTATAGAGGGATTGTTTGATTTTTTAGAACGTAAGAAAGTTTGCCGAACGCTGTAGTACGGAGACGAGTAAGAATAGGATGGGCAGCGTTCGGCTGTATAGATAGCATATATCAATTGTGATATATATCACAACTAACTAAAGACCTGTTTCGAAGGAAATCAATTTAGCATCTTCCAAATAAGATATTTTTCTTTGTTCGAGTCTCATCTTCGATATGGCCTAGTCATGACTACTCCACCAGAAGTTCATGTTTTGATGTGTATTTACCGATATCATCCACTGAGTTACTCCCTATGCAACATAAATCTGCAACTTCTTTCCTTAAGTTCAGTAAAATGACAACAGCCTATCTATTTAAAAGACATTATTCAGTTGAAGAGTTTCTTAACGAATAACTAAGAAATTCCACTACGTTTATGGACAAGTAACCAAACTATTTTTATATATATTTGGAGGTCCCATGCAGCAACTTAAACTTATTATTTCGTAAGGTTTTATTTAATTTGCAATTTATTTAAATTTTGCAATGGATTGTGTATTTTATTTTTTTTTACTTTTAAATTTTAAAATATTATTATAAGCTTTATCCATAAGATTGTACAATTTTTAGCATATTTCTTCTTGTTCGTCTATATATTTGTGGCAAATTTCATTGCCTTCTTTTTTCAGTTTGTCTTCTTCATACGTAGCTATTATTCTTCCAATTGTTTATAAACTTATGTATGTCTGCTGGTGAATCTTATTTTAGATTATGATACAGGTGTTCTTAAGATTTTCGATTGTTACTTTACTTTTATTGTTTTATACAAAGTTGCAATAACAGTGAACGACTTAGAGGTACCTTACAGCACCTTTCATACATCTATAAAATGGCGGCGTTGACAGAATACAACAGTCATCATCATGATCATCACCCAGCCCTTTGCGTCCACTGCTGGCCATAGGCCTCCCTCATTTTTGTCCATTGTGCTCTGTTTTGATACAACAGTACAATACAACAGTATACTCAATTTCTTACAATAAATGTACCAATTACACCACTACCAACTCACTACTGACGATACCTCGTCTCTAATGACAATTTCATGAACAAAATACTATGCGCATTCCTAAACACCGAAGCTAACACCTTGATAGGGATGCTTGCGTATTTGGCAGCTTCTGACCGCTGTCACTGGGTCCTCGATAGCAACTTTAAACAGAAGTTGCTATCGAGGACCCATAGAGACACCTTCGTTTGGGTATTTAACCAATGGGAGTCTTGCGTTGCCATGATGTAAACCTGTTTCAAACAAAAACATAATTTAAATGTATCACCAAATATTTAAAAGGTTTTTCCCATGTATATAATGGCTTCACTCATGTAGACCTGGTAACTGCATTGTCAGTATGTCAGTACATTGGACTTATTAGTCGGAAAACGTTCAGTGATGTAACCTGAAAGGGCATTTTTAGAATAAATATACTTTATATAATAGATTTTTTAAATAAAAGTTTTTACTAATAATTATATTCTTATGTATAGAGACACTCCGAATATACCCCATATTTCCCATACTAGTAAGAGGTTGTAAGGAAGACTATCCAATTCCTGGAACAGACTTTACCTTAGAAAAAGGCACATTTGTTATGGTTACTAATCTGGGAATCCACAGAGATCCTGAATACTATCCCAACCCACTTCAATTTGACCCGGAAAGATGGACCTATGAAAACAGCCTTAACAGACCATTTGTGGCTAATCTGCCGTTTGGTGAAGGACCCAGGATTTGTGTTGGTAAGGAGAAAATTTATTAATATTTATTATTGGTTTATTCATTGTTGCTCAAGAAATTGATAAAAATAAAAGTTTAAAGATTCTGTACCGAAAAATGACTGAAAAATACCATACACCATATTAGCAAAAACCATTATATAATACATAAGCAAAGCCACAGAAGACTATGTTAAAATTAGAAAGAAATATCCTTACTGTCATTAATAGAAAATTATTGTGACGTAAGATCTGTTAAACACCAGGCTAGTTCCAGTTAGTTGTGGAAAATAAAAATGGGCGATGCTAGGAAAGTTAATATAAAATGACAAAGCATTAAGCAGTATCCAAACGTCAGGAAAGACTAATCAATGCTTAGTCTAGGTTACAAGTGGCCGAAACAGTTACTAGTCAATAAGGAGGAGAAACGGAAAGCGACTAGTCGATTCTTGGTCGCCGACGGGCAGAATAATTTGGCATTAGATTAATACTCCAAGAGCTTGGTTAGGAGTTCTAACCAAATCAGTACTTCAGCTTGAGTTCTTTCATAGTGTCCTATTTCTAGCGCAAATCAATGGTAGTGGTAAGCTTCTGGTATGAGTGCAAATAGAGAAAGAAAGAGAGAGAGAGAGAGAGAGAAAGAGACGAAGAGAGAGAGAGAGAGAGAGAGAGAAAGAGAAAGAGAGACGCATGATGATGGCATGCTCTCGTTAGACTATATGAAAACGTATTTGAAAATAATTGAAAAAGTAATAATGAGTTAAATTGGGATTAGAAAGACTAAAGTCTTGTTGGGTGTATCAGACATTACACAGATTAAGATAAATAAAAGATATTATTACTTCGAGCATAAAATATAATGACAGAAAGTGGTAGGAAATTGTTAAGTATTAAAAGACATGTAACAAAGATTATAAAAATTAAAACTCTTGCTTTTTACCTGCAAGGCCAGAAATACTGATTGGAAATGCTAGATCATTCTATCAATTATTGTACTTAACATAAGTATTTTTTCTAGGTAAACGTTTTGGCCTTCTACAGACGAAATTAGGACTCGCAACATTAATAAAAGACTACGAGGTCAGTCTTAGTGATAAAACTACAAAAGGATTTAAATTCGTCAGTTCCCAGTTGATTCTAAGAAAGGAAGGTGATGTTTGGATTAATCTGAAGAAAGTAAAAAGTTAGAAATATTCTAGCTGGTGATATATTTAGAATTAAGTAAATAATGTTTTATTATTTCAAGAGTTTGAGTTCACCAAAAATGGTGCTTAAAATATTTAAACCATGAGATTTAACTTTTAGTTTAACTAGTTTAATTATATCTGTACATTTTGCTTGTGTGTAAGTGTAGTGTAAAGTTGAGCTTGAGATTTTTAATAAATTAAATAAAGACTTAAGTAAAATAAACTAAATTCATAAATGAACAAATAACTAAATCAAGTTAAAATCTTGTTGAACGTCACTGGGAGTGTGTTTGTCGCATTCGTCTTTGGTTTGGTTGTAGCCTCATGAGGTTCTGTACTGGACTGTTAGTATAATTTTCTATAATCGGCAAGAAAATTAGGATTGTGTTTCATTGTTAAGCACCTATTTTAAAACTGCCAACTGTTGGGTATTTAATTTAATATAATTTAATTAAATATAATTCTAGCGGCGCGGCGTGGGTATCCCATTTTTTTCTTCTTCTTCTTCAGTGCCTTATCCGGTCTGGATATGGCGATCATCAAGGCTATCATGGTTTTTTTGACTGCTCTGCGAAATAGCTCCGCTGAGGTCATCCCAAACCATTATCGGAGATTTTTCAACCACGAGATATGACGGCGTCCCGATCCTCTTCTGCCAAATATTTTATTTTGTTTATACTGTATTATTTTATTAGGAATTAATTCTATCGTTATATCTCTGCTCGTTTGTCGTTCTGTGAATTTCCTAATTGCAATTGGTAAATGATCGGTAAAAAATGTTATTTAAAACATGTTTAGAACAGTTTTTGCAATCATTGTTTAACGTTGTTATAGTATCGGCTGTTAAATCTTGTTTCTTGCATCCTAATTTCCAGCGTTTCTGTCGAAGCAATCTTCAGTTTTTAAATCTCTGGCGGTCATTCATGAGAATTGAATAGTTGATTCCGGTGTCCATTTGTGGCCAGGTCCATTCCTAAGTGCGTGAATTCGTTAACTTACTTCCGCTTTGATTATGGAATTGGCGTTTTTATTTATCTTAATGGTTCAAATTCAATATGACATATATCATAAAAAATTGTACATTCTTAACTTTAAGTTAATACCCATATAATATGTGATCAAATTTTAAAAATACATTGTTTCAAATGTGTTTCTTGTTTATATTTTTAATATTAAATTGATATATTTAATGAAATTGATTTTTTTTTATTTTTAATTATTACAAGTCCTACAGTCCGTCCAAGCTGAAACTTTTTTCTTGTGGCAAGTTAAAAAATATTTGGTTAATATGGAATTAAGTCACAATTTTTGTATTGAAAATTACATTTTTAGATACTGTTTGGATTTCCATTCCGAAAATTATTTCAAAAAAGATTATTTTAAAAACATGTGCGGAATGCACTCAAGCTGAGCCGAGCCGAGATTTTGACAAGCTTGAGCTCGGCTCGAAATTTTCAGTGGAGCTCGAAATAGAAGCTTGGCTTAAACTTCGTGCTGTAAGCTTGTGGCTCGTGTCGACTTGGCTCGAATAGTCCAAACGGAGCAGAGCAGAGTTCGAGATCATAAAAATGAATGTAATATGTAACATTCATATTAATTTTTACTTAGTTTAAAGCTAGTGAAATATAAAAAATATTAAGAAATACATTAAAATTGTTTTACATATAGCTACTCTGTCATAGTAAAGTTAGGAGACAAGATGAGTGAGACATTTTTTATTGGATTAACAAGTAGGTGAAATTAAAAATATTTAAAATAGGTAAAGAAATAATAAATAAGACTTACTAACAATCAATTTAATTTAACTATCAGACGACGGGTTTCGCTTTCTACAATATGTAAAGCATCTTCAGGTCTCGATACAAAGTGAAATAAATGCTGAAATGATAAAAACTCATATTAGGGTGTTGTCTAATAAAGATAAACAAATTAGATGTTGTAAATTACAATAATTATGCCAATATTACATGTCTGTGGTTTTATTTCAAATGAAATGGGTTTTTATCATTTCAGCATTTATTTAACTTTGTATCGAGACCTGAAGATGCTTTGCATATTGTAGAAAGCGAAACCGGTCGTCTGATAGTTAAAATAAATTGATTGTGAGTAAGTCTTATTTATTATTTCTTTACCTATTTGAAATGGACTTACACAAGCAACACATTCATGATTTAAAAATATTTAATTTCCAGTTTGTCTTAATTTTTGTTTAAAAACTACGAGAATGTATAATTAGTGGTCGTCCTGAAATAATGTCAGTATTTTTAAATTAACCTGACTGATTTTAAGTAAGCCAAGAAAATATTTGTGCCGCTTAGAAACTATACATAGATATATGACGATAGTTTAAGGTAAATTTTAATTGAGACGTCAACTTTGCATTATTATAGAAAGATATTTGATCCTAGAAGTTCTTAATACCTTAAAATTTAACAAAGTTTATACTGAGAGATAAGCTATAATAAAAACTTTCAACTATACAGATCAACCGTAAATTTCTAGTATTATTTACTCTCTTTTTTTCAAATCTGTATGCTTTTTATCTGGATCACCCTCACAATATCCAATTTATATCATACTTTACGGACACACTATATTGAAACATATTTGTAGTCTGAATTATTTATTCTCAAAGTATCAGTCATAGCAGAAATAAATGAATTAGAAAAGACTATTAGCTAAAACATTGACAAGCTAGTTAAGGAAAGCTCAGCTAGTTTCGAATTCAGCTCTGCTCGGCTCGAAAAAAATTTGGTTTAGCTCAAAGCTAGGTTTGGAAGAACCAAATCGTCTCGAGCCAAGCCGAGCTAAGCTCTAGTATGTGCATGGTATTAGTTGAAAAAATCTGAGGGTGGTGTTTGTACTCTCAGTAACAATAAAAACTAAATTTGTAATTTATGACTAGTCAGACATTATGTTAAATTGAAAAGCGAAACTTTTACCTTGTATATATTTTTTTATCAGATCAATATCTCTCGAGTAATAGGCAAAAGTATGGGCGAAAAAAGCAAAAATTTTCGATTTTTTTTTTCGGATTTTGTTAAATAAAAAATTAAGTAAGGTTTGCAACTGGAGCGTATTATGATTATTGATACAAGGTACATCCTGAAGTGATTACAGCAAAAAACCAGACTCCTCTGGAAAATGTTCATTATAGTCTGCTTTTCGATAAATCCCGCTTCGACTATTAGTCAATATTTTCCATATGTTGTGAAAAAAACATTATAAATATTTCATTAATGAATAAATTATAGTTCTCTTTAATGGTTTTAAAATTTTTCGGACTAGGATTTTGTGCAATCTAATGAATATTTTTTAAAAGCTATTTTCGATTCCTTGTCGAAAAAATGCAAGTCATAATAAGATATAGACTATGCTGAATATGATAAATTATTTGAAAAAAAAAGATTATTTATTTGGCAGACAAAAATATATGTTAACAATTTCTACACATCATCGCAGAAATGAAAAAGTCACAAATAGTCCAGGATATGACGACAAAAATAGTAAAAAAACCTATATTTTTATTATATGCATCAATTTACTTGAAATTGTGTGAGTAAATCTACCCTATGGCAAGATGTGATTTTTCTCTGTGTGTGACTTTCCATTTCAACTTGGGATTGGAAAAGTTTTTTTAAAAAAAACATGTGGTAGTTACTAGAAAAGTGAATTTTACGATAAAAATGTTATGAGTTTTTTTCGAAAAGTCAATATTTTGAATGACATAATGAATGTTCACAAATTACGTGTCAAAAGTGCATGTTTTCAAATGGATATTTACAAATAACTCCAGAACTTTTTCTGGACTTGAAAAACTCGAAAACTATATAACTTTTGTTAATATAATAGACGAAATATGATTGTTTTAACCCTTTATCGGTACATGTAACTAGACGGTAACATTTTATATTATAACCTTTATCGGGCACTTCTTTAAAATTGCTTTAAAACATTAAAGTTAAATTAAAATTAGATTTAAAAAGTTATTTATATAAACAGTCTCTAAATGTTAAGTAGAATCAAATATATATTTATATATCTGAAATATTATCCTGGAAAAAATTACAAATGTAACCATATGGTAACAAGGTCTGCAAAATAATTTTTTTATCATTACAGCTATATGGTGACCAGAAAACAAAACAGTTTTACAATTGTTTGTTTTGATGAAAGGCTTTGAAACATTTTTTCTTCTTAGTGAGACAGAGCTTTGCATCATATTTTTCACACTTTAGACGACTCGTTTTCTTAATACAATACCTAAATCTTCCTTTTGTGGTATACATTGGCCATGTCCATAAGAATCAAATTTTTTTTTTGCAAGAAAATGCAAGAAATGCAAAAAAAAAGAAAATGCAAGAAGCATTCGAAATATGGGTGTACCGACGCATTCTTCGTATATCCTGGACCGAACATGTCACCAACATAGAGGTACTTCAAAGAATCGGAAAGGAGAAAGAAATCGTTAATGCAATTAAACAAAGAAAGCTTGTATATCTAAGACACAAATTGAGACACGATAAATACCGTTTGCTGCAAGTGATTGTCGAGAAAAAATAGACAGTAAGCGAGGGCCAGGCAGGAGAAGATACTCGTGGCTCTAAAATCTGCGGAAGTGGTTCGGGCTCACATCGGTCGAACAATTCAGAAGCGCCGCAAACAAGATCAGAATTGCCATGTTAATAGTCAACGTTCGCAACGTTCAGGGCACTTGAAGAAGAAGAAGATAAGAATCCAATTTTACTAAATCATTTTGTCGTTTAACTACATTACATCTTATTTTTGGCACAATATTGGTCTTTCTCTTCTGGAACCTTTTCCATCTTGACATAATACTTTAGAGGCATAAACTTTATGTTCAAAAGCTTATAGTCTATTATATACAACAACCAAGCATTTGAGACAGATATGTCAACAATATACGCAAACATTGCAAAATACCATTTTTTAGATTTGTGTGATGATTTGTTAAAACACATTAAATCATTAGCCGTGTCTATGCCTCCCATGTTTATTGTACTGTTTTCAATGGAAAGGTATTAAAAATTCCTTGCTGACCACCAGATACAGGTGCTCGACTGGCCTGGTAATTTGCCAGATCTGAATCCAATAGAAAATCTTGAAAGCTTATGAAGAAAGAAATTTCTAATAATATTATAACCACAAAGCGGCAATTGATCGAGTGCTTAATAGCAGTATCGCACAGGATGAA